TTTGCCTTTTTTACCAGAACGGGGTTGGCTACCCAGCTCGGGTAATGAACTTCCCTTATGAAGTCTGCTGCGAGGAGCTTCTCGACCTCCTCATCGACCGCCCTCCAGCGTTTTGGGGCTAAGTTGCGTTTCTTCTGTCTAATGGGTATAACTACAGGGTCAATATTGAGTTTGTGAGTTATGAGCTTAGGGTCTATGCCGGGCATTTTTGCCGCGGACCAAGCGAAAACATCTAAGTTACTGAGTAAGAAGCGTACCAGTTTGGATCGCAAGGGCTCCTCCAAGGAAGCACCGACCTGAAGCGATCTGGCTGGGTCCTCTGCCAAGACAGGGATGGGAACAATTTCCTCCGTGGGTGCAGCTCGCTCCTCATTCTGTTCTACCGGTCGCTCTAGTTCGAGGTCGCTGGTTACCTTGGCCTTTCCCTTGAGGGCGACGGCGTAGCACTTGCGGGACTCGAGCTGGTCGCCCCGCACTACCCCAATGCCGAAGCCCGTGGGGAACTTCATAGCTAAATAGTAAGTGGACACCACGGCCTTTAAAGTGTGGGTGATCGGCCGACCTACTATGGCATTGTAGGGGGAGGGGGTTGCAACCACCAAGAAGTCGTGCCTGAGTCTTACCGTGCTAGGCCACGTGCCGACTTCCACAGGTACTGTGACCTTTCCTAGGGGTCTGACCTCCTCTCCGCTGAAGCCGACCAGCGGGGTGTTCTCGGGCTTCAAGTCACTCTCCCGGAACTAGAGTTTGTTGAAGGTTGCTTTAAAAAGGATGTCTGCCGAACTGCCGGAGTCAACGAGTATGCGTCGGACTTCGAAGTCGTTGATCTTTACCTTTATGACAAGTGCATCGTCGTGGGGGTAGTGGACCCCACGCGTATCGTCTTCGGTGAAGAATATGGGGTCTTCGGTCCTAGGCCACTTTGGGGGATTTTGTTCTTCTCTGGCGGCCTCCCGGGTTGATGCCCGAGCTGCTACCGAGGTGCATCCTGCTACGATCGATCCTCCAACGATCACGTGGATTATTCCCCGAACTGGTCTTTCCTCCGGGGGCTGCTTCTGCGGTTCGGCTAGCCGGCTGCTGGACTCGGGAGCATCTCTGTTGTGCTCTCCTTGCCGACCTGTCTTATTACTATTATTGTTATTATTATTATGCTGTACAAAATTTCTTAGGTACCCGCGACGGATAAGTTCTTCTATCTCGTCGCGGAGATTATTACAATGTTCGGTGCTATGACCGTGGTCTCTATGGAAACTGCAGTATAAGTTTTTATTCCTCTCGTTCGGGTTTCCCTTCAGACGAGGTGGCCATTTCACGTACGGGGCATCTTTGATCGTCATTAAGATCTCGGCCCGCTTCGCGTTTAAGGGCGTGTAGTCCGTCCGACCTGCTAAGGGAGCTCGAAACGGCTGGCTTGGCTTCGTCCCCCGAGCTGGGTCTTTCTTTCTCCTGTCATCTGGGTTGGAGGGTTCGCCTTCCCTCTTCCTTTTTTCGATCCCACTTTCAGTCCTTTGGTTGATCTCCTCCTCTGTTCTTATGAATTTGTCCGCGAGCTTGAGGAATTCAGCTACGGTTGCGGGYTGGTTGACTACTATGTGCCACTTGAACTCCTTGTGTGTCACACCCCTCTTGGCTGCCGCGAGCTGTACCGCAGGGTCTAGGCACGGTATCTGCAAGCACGCGTCATTGAACCATTTGACATAGCCCCGGATGGACTCTCCTTCCCTCTGGACTATTCCGAGGAGGCTCTCCTCGGTTCGGGGGCACCGCTTGCTAGTAACAAAGTGCGCGGTGAAGACTTGCACCAACTGGGTCCAGCTTCTTATCGACCCGGGGGCCTGGTTCTTGTACCAGGTGTGGGCCACTCCCCTGAAGGTGGTAGTGAAGGCCATGCACATGCAGGACTCGCTGGTCCTTGCCAGGTGCATTTGGGACTGGAAAGCATTGACGTGGTCATTGGGGTCAAAGGACCCATCATACTTGTCTAGAGGAGGGAGTTTGAAATCTTTGGGCATGAGAACCACAAGGAGTTCTGATGACAGGGGGGAAGGAACTGAAAGAATAGGGGCAACTTTTACCTCGTCCGAGCTTGTTTCTTCTTTACCTCGGAGCTCGGGCAGGATGCGGGTGGTAGTTCGGCGACTTCGTCGGCGTCTTCGCTGCTGCTTAGAAGGCCTGGTATTGGCGCTACTTGCCTCGGTGTTGCCGAGCTCGATTGGCCCAGACTGTTGGTAGTTCGCGGCCAGGACGCCGAATTGGTTCTCTGCGAGCGGGAGCTCGAACTTTGAGTGTCGAGGTGCTGACTTGATCGGCAAGGAGGTTCCCGATCCGCTGGCGAGCTGCGAGGCGGGGGTAATTAGTCTTTCCCTCCTGCCCATGGATGAGGCCTGGCTCCTGGAGGGGTTCTGAAGTTGGGAGGCTTCCCCTCGGTGAAGGCGCCTGCTCTGAGGGGAGGGCTTGACCGGCTTGGGAGCAGGGTGCCGAGGTGGGAGCTGCGGTTGGTTCAGAGGCAGTTGGGGGAACTGCTGTTGGTAGTGATGCTGGGAAATGTGGTGTAGTACTTGCTGCTGATGGAGCTGATGTTGCTGGAACTGCTGCATTTGGGCTTGCATTGCCCACATGCACTGCATCAAGTCATCAAGCTAGTTATGGCTGGTCGCCAGAGGGACAACGGTTGGTTCGGCGAAGGTTGTCTTGGTAGGGAGGGGAAGGGGAACACTCACAGGGGCCACCGTGCTTGGTGCATTGAGGCTAGGGATTCCGTCCGTTGAGAGGGGGATGGTGAACTGTTCGATGCATACAGTGGCGGGCTGAGGGTGTTCCCCTACAACATTCAAGTCGGCGTTGTGCTTGTTGCTGTTGGAGGAAGCCATGGAAGCTAAGGTTTCTTTGATAGAGAGAGAGAGTTAAAGGTTAGGGGAGGCTTTTTGAAGTCTTTCCCATAGACGGCGCCAAATGATGATTCGCAATCCGGTCGGTCCTAGTTGTCGGTTACCTCGCCTCTGACGGAGCTGAAGGTGCCTGAAATAAGGAAGAAACTGGAGACTTCCGGGGAGAAACCCGGTTGGAACACTCTGAAGCTCAAGTTAGTGCTCTAGAGAAGGCAAGGGAAATGAGGAAATTCAAGACCAGAAAGCACAAAAATCACATATTTCCTTCTTTGGGGGAAGGGGGCCTTTTATAATCACCCTGGTACACTCACTCCCATACCTCTGCCAGATCGGGTATCATCACCTCCGCCAGATCGGGTGTCATCACCTCTGCCAGATGCCAGTTCGGGTGTCATAACCTCTGCTAGATGCCAGTTCGGGTGTCATAACCGCCACTGTCTTCCTTGTCAGGGCCATCTCTGCCACGTCTGAGATGGCGGTGTCAGGTGGCCGTTGGAGGGCAGCTGTCATGTGTCGGACCCCTAATCAGTCAGGCGCGTCGCCTCCGTGTACGGGCTTCCTTGGCGTCAGGTACGGTTGTTCAGTCAGGTGACTTGGAGCCGAAGTGGTGTGCGAGATGAAGTCTTAAGTTCGGATAGAAGTGTGGCTCGAACTGCCCCGGGGTGGGTTAGCTCGGGCTTTTTGCCCTTTGCGCTCCTTGTAAGGCTCAGGACCTCTAAGGGAGAGTTCGGGTCGTGGGTTCCTTTTTTGGGGGAACTCGGGTTGTGGGCCTGCTGCCGTGCCGAGCTAGCGCTCCTACCAGATCACTCTCGGTTGCTTCCACGTATCACGTGGCCAAGGGGTCGGGCCAAATCTCCCTCCATCACATGTGATATCCAAATTTAATTGAATCAGTTAAACGATATGAGTAGAATATCAAATTCGACCGGTTATGAATCTTATCATATTCAAATTATCTGATTATGCCAAATCTGAAATTAAGCGCTTATTTGAGAAGCCCAAATTTGGGTTTACAAAAAAAAAACACCGAGCTTGTTTTTAATTTCTCATGCAATAACGCGCTTATTCGATTTTTTTCGTTCCAAAAAGTCCCTGTTGTCTTTTTAAAATGCTAAATTACCCTTTATTGAAATAGCATACATAGGGTTTCCCTCTCATCGRTGACGATGTTGCTTCTCCACTTTTCTTTATCACTTCACAAATTCCTAGCAGTGGCCTCCCCACTCCAGAATTGAAGCAGAATCTCGTATTTTCCAGGTTAGTTTTCTTCTTCTTCCTCTATTTTTTTTTTCTTTGTTTTCTCATCTTCAATTGAACCATAAGCTATCTGTTTCTCATATATATTTTTGAATACTCGTTTCTTCTTACTGAAATCAATCTCATTGTTCTTCTTCTCCAGTCACTCATGATTGTTCTGAATATCTTATTTTTCTGCTGTTCAATCATCTCACCCGTTTAATTGGAGAGGATTTTTAGATCCGGTACAACTTTCAATCATGGAAGAATAGTTTTTCATTTTCGTTCGACCATGGGAAAATGATATATATACCCGATATCTATCTTTAACTGCCTAGTCGATTGTTCTTGTAGTCTAACAAAGGCATGGGTAAATTCATTTTAGTCATATTCAACCTGGTCTTGTCTGGTCTTGTATCTTGTGTCTTCTTTGAAGATGAAGTTCTCTTGTTCTTCCTGCAACATCCGCTCACTGGAACATTTCTCAATCATCCTTCTTTGGTCCAATACCTCTTACATGCATTGCAGAAATACGGAATACCGTAGTTGTGAGAGGCTGTAGTTGTTATAGAAACAGAACTTGGTATTGGTGGAATCACATCTTGGACATTTGAGAGCCTGTTGAGTTGAGGCCTCAATCTCTTCTCTTGCTGTGGTTTCGGGCAAGCCAACAAGTCTTGTAGTGAGTGGGTAGCCATGGCCTGGATGTATATCAGAAAAACAAAAGCCCTTATTGGATAAATTTGTCTTAAAATGAGGGTTAAATTTGTCTTTTTAAATGAATAAGCACTTATCGAATAAAAAAACCCATCGACTGCCCAATATGAAATAAGTGTTTTTTTTTTTTTAAATAAACACTTGAAAAAGGTGAGTACCAAATACAGATAAGTTTATTCCAATAAGCACTTATTCAATAACCACTTATTTTTCAGATAAGCACTCCCAAACTTGGAAATTGATTGGGATGACTGATGCCCTCTATACAATTGCCAATCTACTTTTCAGGGGCCCACATCACTAACCCGAGCAGTATTGTATAGTATAGCTCCAAAAATCTAACTGTCCAAATGGTTTTGTACTTTTGTAGGTCCGATCCAAAACCTGGTTCTTTTTCCCTTTTTCCCAATTCCCACGTTCTGTATATTAGGAGATGAAACTTTTGGAAGAAACCCTAGTCACTAAACCTATAGTTGTCAAGGGCCTCAAGGCGACACGTAGGCGACAAGGCGCCCTTGGAGGCTTGCCTCGCCTAATTGCCAAGTAGTTTTGTACATTGTGTTATAAAATACTTTTATATTCTTAATTTTTTGAGATTATAATTATAAAATAAACATCATTAAACTAAAATTTTCATTTTGTGTGTTTATTTTACTAATTTCCTTTTATTATTTTCTTATTTGTTAGGTTTGATCAACACAAACATTGCTAAATGCTGTATTTTCTTCTTCTTCTTATTCTTCTTCTTCTATAACAAAATAGGGGTGTAGTCCCCATTTTTTTTTGAATTTTCTTTTCTTTCTTCTTTTTCTTATGAATATGTTGATTTTCTATTCTTCAACATGAAGTTTATACTTTTCTTATGAAAACTATGGATAATTATTAAGGACATATGGTTATGGAATCTAGGGAACTACCCTAGGATATATGTTTTTTACTTAAAAGAATCCATTGCCTAGGCTGTGCTCCCTTGTCGCCTAGCCTCGCCTTGGCACCTTGAAAACTATGCCTAAACCTGAAACATCTCTCTAACTTGTGCAGAGGAAGCCTCTCTCCACCTCGTTTCCACTCGTGGAGAACTATCACCGAATCACAATGGCGTCATCTGTAATTGTGTTTTTGATTTTACCGAAGTTGTTTTCTCTTTTCAAATGTATGCTGTTATGGAAACTTTCGTTCTGATTGTGTGGTCAATTTTTCTAGAGATTCTGCGCTGTGATCTTTAGTCTTTTGTATTTCCTTTTGGTGTCAATCTGTCTTCCTGTTGCCTTGGAAGCCTCTGGTAAATTCCGTAGCAGTTTTGTATTGGGTAATATTTATTATTAGTATTTTTGCTTGCATGCTATATTAGATCACAACATTCACCAACTGTCTGATATAATGCCTTAATTGGTTCCTTGACATGAGCTCACCAATTCTTCTTGGGGCCTATGCATGCTATCCTGTCACATTTGCTGGCCTTGGGCCCCTGACACATCTAGTATTTAAAAGCAACTCAGAATGATCAGGGGTTTACAGCTGATATGTTCCCATTATCTAGTTAACGTTAAATTTCTATTATTAGATACAGATTGTATCACATTAAGCAACTTAAGGTTTCTTTGTCTTAATTAGGTAGATGCTGTGTGGCCTTTGAGTAGAGAAGAAAGAATCATGTTTAGGAGGCAATCACTGTCAAGTGATTTGGAGTATGGAAGACTGTCCCCCTGAAGTGGGCTATTTGTTGCTTGTTTCTCTATTTTTATTCATTTGTCATGTTACAGATTTGTGGATCCTAATATCCAACAACATCTGCACAACATGGTAGCTTTTTACCTGGGTTGTTGACTTGTTGGTTGTAAGGAAGAATAAGCCAAAACGTTAATCTGAGTTGACATGATGCAACTTAGAGAGGTATATTTTGATGTGGTTGGTAAGGTTTGTTTTGCATTAAACATGTGTCCATTTCAAGTTTAGACAGTTTTGAGTGGCCTAAAGTTGTTTGTGCACAATTTAGTATAAGTGTGTCAGTTCCACATGCCATTCACCAATCAGAGTTCCATATTGAGTATCTCATTTAGAAATTTTACTCTGTGTCAGGCATTGGTCCCAGCTCAAATCTGGGCTCTTTAAATTTTAAGAAATGCTCAATCTAGGCCTTCCCAAGTTGCATCCCTACTCAAAATGTTTTGAGCATTTGATTGTGTGGACTGTTTAATCATTGAGAGCATCAATAGAATGTTATACCTAATAAAACTAACTGCTAACCTTCAAACTATTTGAGTGATAGAAAATATATATTTTTTTTTATAAATTATGGTGGTTTTAATTGATATTTTTAAATTTACTTGCAATTTATTTCTTGTTTTTGAGGGGTGTTTTTTTTTGATTAATTGGATGGAAACTAATTATTTTGCAAGGGCCTCGTAAATGTGCAACTTGGATCATCATCCMGCTTAATCTTTACGTAAGTTATCCAACCCTATATAGTTGGATGATGATGGTGAAACAGTTGCAAGGTGCCAACCAGCGGGTTGGTAAGGTCTCCTACTAGTCGTAGCGGAGATTTTGGATCAAATCTCACTTGCACCTGGGTTGGGGGTTGGGCTACCTCCATTGTGTAGCCCTTCACAAGATATCAAAAAATAAAAAAAAACAGTTGTGTAGATGCCCCATATAATTGAGATAAGGTTTGGATGATGATGATCCAAACTCCAGACCTAGGCCAGGTTGAGTTAGGCTCAGGTTGGCCTTAGGCAATCCATACTAGTCCAAACCTTAATTCTACATCTTCTTGGTTATGTATTAAAACATATAGGAGATTCACTGGTAGTGCTGGACTGGACAGTAGACTGATATTGTGTTACTAGTCCTGTGTATTTTTCTGTCATCTTATAGATATCAAGAAGTGAGCTTTATTGGGTGCATCGTTCCAATCTAAGGGCATCCATTATACATTTTATTGTAGAGGACCCAATTGAGATATGTCTGGTATTGAGGTATTATAATTACATCATCTTATATATTTCATATTGGATGCAATATTGTTGCAATCCTAAAAAGGTATAAAGTGTATATAGAAGCAGCAAAGTAGTAGGAGGTTGGCTGATCACTAGGATTCTGTTGCTGAGTGGAGGATGTTTCAAGTTCAAATCATAAAACACTTTTATTTTATATATGCTATAAAATAAGACCTTTTAAGCAGTTAAATGAGGATCAGAAACTGCTTCTTGAGAGACCTTTCTCGGTGGAGGAGATCAAGACTGCAATTTGGAAGATGGAAGGGGATAAATCTCTTGGGCTGGATGGCTTAACCAATCTCTTCTATATGAAGTGCTGGAATTTTATAAAACAAGGCTTAGTGAATATCTTTCAGTCTTTCCATTCCAATGTGTCTTTGCAAAGAAGTTTAAATGCCACCTTTATCACTCTCATCCCAAAAATTGAAGGGGCTATTAATATCAAAGATTTCAGACCTGTAAGCCTTCTGAACAGCTTATATAAGATCTTGGCGAAAGTGCTGGCTTGAAAGGTTGAAAGGGGTGATTGGCAGTGTGATCTCTGATAATCAGTTTGCCTTTGTTCCAGGGAGGCAAATGCTTGATTCTGTTCTTATAGCTAATGGAGTTATTGACTCCAGGAAGAGGGAGGGAATTCCAAGTTTGGTATGTAAGCTGGACATTGAGAAAGCTTATGATCATGTAAATTGGAGGTGTTTGGATTTTGTGCTTGAGAAAATGAACTTTGGCCAAAAGTGGAGGAACTGGATCAAAGTTTGCATCTCTTGCGCTAAATTTCTGTGCTGATAAATGGGCAGTCTGCAGGTTTCTTTGAAAGTTTGAGGGGCTTAAGACAGTGAGGCCCTCTCTCTCCCCTATTATTCATCTGTATTATGGAAATTCTTTCTTTGTTCGGTAAGAGGGCTGCTCTTTCTGGCTATTGGGAAGGCTTTGTGATTGCTCCTGTGAAGGAAAGGGTGAACATCCTTCAATTTGCTGATGATACTCTTTATTTTGTGGATGATTCCCCTGATCAGTTGGAGTTCCTTCTGGGGATTCTGAGTTGGTTGGCTTGCCTGATTGATTTTTTCCCTATTAAATACTTGGGCTTACCTCTCGGGGCTAAATGTTCCTCCTCTTCTTCTAGTCATTGAAAGGATGGAGAAAAAGTTGTCTTCTTGGAAAACCAAGTACCTTTCTGCTGGGAGCAGAGTGACACTAATTAAATGCACACTATCCAATCTGCCGACATGCTTTATGTCTTTATTTCCTATCACAACTAAAACAGCAAAAAGATTGGAACACTTACAGATAAATTTTCTGTGGAAAGGTTGGGATGAAGAGAAGAAAATTCACCTAGTTAGTTGGGACCAGGTTTGCCCCCCCACTGAGGGAGGTGGATTGGGAATTATGAAGTTGAAAGTGTTCAACTCTGCACTTCTCAATAAATGGATCTGGAGATTTGCCTTAGAAAGAACAGCTTGGTGGAGAAATCTTTTGGCTGTGAAATATGGGGTGGAGTGTGGTAATTGGAGATCTTGTTATCCCCCTTCAAGTTGGGGATGCTCCTTGTGCAAAGGCATAATGAAAATTTTGCCTACTATCTTAGGAGTAAGCTTTAAAGTGGGTAAGGGTGACAGAATTAATTTTTGGAAGGACGCTTGGTGTTTGGAGGGTCCCTTGGCTGAGGCATTCCCCCTACTGCTCCACTGTGCTGCTAGTCCTGATGCTTCGGTGGCTGACTCTTAACTCTATTTCTGAAAATGGACTGACCTGGACCCCTCAATTTAGGAGGAATTTGTATGACTGGGAATTGGACGAAATTGTCCATTTGCTGGAGCTCTTACAGGGATAAGGGATTGATACTAACATGGAGGATGAGTGGTGCTGGAAGTGGAATGGTGATGGTTGCTTTTCAGTAAAATCTGTGGCCCTCAAGCTTAGCAGTTCAGGCCTTACAAGCTTCCCTTTCAGGCAGATCTGGAATCTGATCAGTCCTTCAAAATCTAATTTTCTGGTTTGGGCTATGGCTCTAGATAAGTGCCTTTCTAGATCTAATCTAGAGATAAGAGGTGTTCAGCTTCCAGATATCTCTTGTGGGCTTTGTGGAGCTCATCAGGAAACTACAGATCATCTTTGTCTTCACTGTCCTATCTTCTCTAAGGTTTGGAAGCATTTTCTGAAAGCTGTGGGAATCATCTGGGTTATGCCGAGTGTGGTTAAAGACTTGCTGTGTTGCTGGAAGGTGGGGGGCCTTAATAAAAAAAGGATTGTTGGTGTGGAAAACTATTCCAGCAGCTGTCCCCTGGTCCATTTGGTCTAAAAGAAACAACAGATTCTTCTGTAACAGGTTTAAAAATACAAATGTGTTAGTGAAAAGGGCTGTAATTAAGCTGATCTCTTGGGTGGCTGCTGACTTTGAATTTAAGCACCTGAGTGTGCCTCAGCTGCTTAGTTCACAGTTCATTTGGAACCTGTAATTTGAGTTGGTCTCTGTGGGTCTGTGTTCTGTTTTTTTTTTTTTGTTTTTGTTTTCTTTCTGGACCAGCCCCCCTGGTGATGAAGGCCCTGTTGTATCCTCTTTTTGGTTTTAATAAAATTACCTTACCTTTACGAAAAAAAAATTCCCACTTGGTTTAACCCAAGTTTGACCCAATCCAACTCTTTTCTTCTTTAATCATCAGCATGATCAAAGAAGTTTCTTTTATGATGAATAAAAGAGACAGCTCTAAACCTGGCTTCATATCCAGACTGGGGATCACAATGGTACATGCTGACTCATCCAGTCCAGGAAACTCCTATTACATACTAAAAGAATCTATTTCATTGGGTTTGGATTTGGTCCACTTGTAAACTTTCAGGTCTTCTACCTTTTGGCTAAGGTCGTTCTAACCCACTCTGATCCAACCAAGTTGCAACTTATGGTCCTGTTACTTCTCTTCTGGGTCACAATCTGTCATATTGGCTGTTTCCATCCGATGCTGGAGCTCTGTTTGAGTTTTCTTAGTTGTTCCATATCTTTACCATATAAAGCATATATTTTACACATGTGAATGCACATAGAAAATTGCATAAGGTGGGTCTCTCAATCTTGCATTTTCTGTTCACAATTAATACCATATATGTTGCATGCGTTCTCTCCACTTGTTTAAATAAAGTCAAATATGACTTGGGTAACTTGCTCGAGTATGTAATTTATATCAGTAGGCAGTAGCCACTGCAAATGATGTAACGGGATTGGATTAAGTTTATTCCACCCAAATTTTAAACAACAGTTAACTTGTAGTGATTTTCATGTTCCCAATGATGACAACATTAGGCATGAGCCTCAACAACATCTRTGCACCAAGGTAGTTTTTTACCTGGGTAGTTGGTGGTGAGGAAGAATGTGCCAAAATGCTAATCTGAGGTTTTGAGTTTTTTCCACCCAAATTTATATCAGTAGCCCCTGCAAATGAATTCCACCCAAGTTTTAAGCAATATTTAACTTGTAGTGATTTCCATGCCCCCAATGATGACAGCATTAGGCATGAGTCTCAACAACATCTGCGCACCAAGGTAATTTTTTACCTGGGTTGTTGGTGGCAAGGAAGAATGTGCCAAAATGCTAATATGATATTTTAATATCACAAACTTGTTTCTAGACATATTTGTGTTTGGAGATGAAACAATTTATCCATTTGTGTTCTTTTGTTACTATTAATTTCTATAGCATAATTTTTTGTTATTAACCGAGTTAAACTAGGTTCTTTGTAATTGGAATCATTGGAGATTTTTAATGTGTTACATATAGATTGTAATGGATTGGATTAAGCTTATTCCACCCAAATTTTAAACAATAATTAACTTGTAGTGATTATCATGCTCCCAATGATGACAGCATTAGGCATGAGCCTCAACAACATCTGCGCACCAAGGTAGTTTTTTACCTGGGTTGTTGGTGGTGAGGAAGAATGTGCCAAAATGCTAATCTGAGGTTTTGAGTTTATTCCACCTAAATTTATATTAGTAGCCCCTGCAAATAAGTTCCACCCAAATTTCAAACAATATTTAACTTGGTAGTGATTTCCATGCTCTCGGGTGATTTCTTATCACCTTCCTTTTGCATTCTCTCTTTCTTTTAGTGAATTTCTCTTTAGCTTTCAAAAAAAGTGATTTCCGTGCTATCAATGATGACAGCATTAGGCATGAGCCTCAACRACATCTGCGCACCAAGGTAATTTTTTACCTGGGTTGTTGGTGGCAGGGAAGAATGTGCCAAAATGCTAATCTGAGATTTTAATATCACAAACCTGTTTCTAGACATGGTTGTCTTTGGAGATGAAACAATTTATCCATTCTGGTGTGCTTTTGTTACTATTAATTTCTATTGCATAATTTCTTGTTATTAAACCAGTTTGTAATTGAAATCATTGGAGATTTTTAATGTGTTACATATAGATTGTACTGTGGTTTGATTGAAAATATTATACTTAATGAAGTTTATATATATGTATGTATGTGTGTGTATGTGTTCCTTCTAATTATGTTCTTCAATGATATTTAAAACCTATGAATCAAAAAAATGATATTTAAAACCTGAAAAGTAAAATGGTTATATGTCCTAGACAGCTAATGCCTTTAAAGCAGTACTCATGTTATTGAATTTGAATGTCCTTTCCATAACCCTGCTCAAATCAATTTTCTTAACAATCTTACTGACTTTCATGTAAAATGACATTTTCATCATCATCCTCTAACTCATATTCCTCCATCATGCTTCTGGCATCAACAACATCATCCCTGGAAGATTTGTCAAGACTCTCTGCAAATGGTGTTATTCTTCACTTTGATCCTTGAGATATTCTTCTACCAGAGTTTTGAGTACTATTTACAGGAACCTGTTTAGATATTGACAATTGATGGAGCTATATGATTCAAATCTTTTCATACATGATCTTCAACCATTCTTGCAACTCACCACAATATTACTTTCCTTACTAAACCAGATTCAGTAATATTTTGACATGGACAAGCCTCATACAAAACTTATTGAGCCATTTATCTTGAAATTCCCAAATGCTTCAACATGAAATCATAAATTGTTCTTCATAGTCCTGCTCAAATCTACCATGAGTCTATCTTAACTTTACAGCATGTCCTTGCCATATGATTGATCCACTGCCAATATGAGGCTTCACCTATTAGTATGATTAGACATGTGCAAACAAATACATGCAGCTATCCCCCAACCATGTATGCTTTCTTTATTTCTATTTTCCAGATTGGAATACGAGGGTTGCAAGTAAATCACTCTTTTTTTGATAAGTTTGTGAGTAAAGAACTCAAACGTTTAAATCATTGAGCTTGAGTGCATAAGATATGCACTAGTAACCAAAAAAAGTACTTGCATTGGTATTGGTTGGGTGATTGTTTTATCAATTTTAAATTGAATGACCTTGCCTTTATGTTTCTTTTCAGTTGTATAGCATTGGATGTAAGTGCACTTCTGTATGTCACCAGTTGTATTTCACTTACTAGGATCTTGATATAACTCAGATTCCTCTGAGCCCTAATGGCATTGCAGAAAACTATATTACTCAAGGCAGGTGTTGGATACAGAATTTACACTAGAAGTTAAGATGTCCAACATGCACACGATATGACCTATATAGGTAACATAGGGAGAAATCTCTTCTTTAATCCACTATGGGCATTGTCTTTGGTCAGATTAGAAAACTCAAACTTTTGCACTCCTGTGAATGATTGAGAAAGTTGATGCCCATAGAAATTTATATAGATTGTCTTGCATAAGAAATAGATGTGGGTACAAGTGGTTTTTGCTAAAATTTGCTAATTTAGATTTTTCAGAAAATGAGATATTGCTAGATGTCCTTATCAGGGGTGCAATGTGTGGGAATTGAAACTCCCAGCATTGCACCCCTAATTAAAAATTGAAACATTTAGAATTTCATTGATAGTTGAGGGGGACTCCAAGCTGGTAATTGGGTGGCTAAAAGATCCAGACTCAGTTATTTGGAACTACAAGGAAGCTGCAAAGAAGTTCAAATGGCTAACCTCTAATATGATTGTTAGAATCCAGTGGCAAAGAAGGTCGGCTAATGGCTTAACAGATTCTTTAGCTAAGCAAGGGGTTTTTAGGAAATCTATCTTTCAGGCTCAATTGTAAGCTGATTTTTACCTGAGGCTGCATCTTGCACCTCCTCTTGGGATGCCTTTCTGTATGCCAGATTGGCTAGTTCTTAATAAAATTCTTCTTTGCCTATCGAAAAAAGAAAACATTTAGAACTTCATGGAGTAAAAAGTGAATGTATGTGTATGTGTGGATTAATTATCGGGAAATCTGTTATGCACTGCAAAATCTTAGAGATGTTTTGCTGGTAAGTAGAACAGACCAATGTGACATTTTATTTTATACGAGCAAATTATTTGTACCAGCTGTTGAAATCTCGGGGCAGACAAACATGAGAGGAGTGGGAGGGCCATTACTGTGCATAGGGGATCTGCTGGGTGATGTCGGGGAAAGAGATGGTGGAGAGCACCGGGAAGCCCCTTCCTTATCATCTTCATCTTCTTCAGGTTCCAATATAAATGCTTGTCTTCAACCAGTTGATCTTAAGCAACTCTTCCAGGTAATTCTTTCTATTACCTTGTTATCTGGAGTCTAGACTAGTTTATCTTGTTGCCCTTTTGTTTCACCTACAAGCCCTTGTTTTAGAAGTGCCACTAAAGTTTATTGAATTTAACCAGGTTCACTGAAGTAGTTTATGTACAACCATAAAAAAGTAATTTATCATTGTTTTTACTTTAAACCTTTTTGTAAATTTTCTTCAGATTTTGAGCGTTTTCACTTTTCATTTCATTACTTTGGAATTCAGAGTATGATTAAGTGTGCTACTTGTACAAAGAATTGCCTTAATATCATACTTGAAAGCTGGAATGATGGTGCACAAAACGAATGCCAAAGTCCTGCTATAACAAATAACAACATTTCTTTTATATATAAATATAACCCTGAATAACAAAAGGAACAGTTGGTTTACCTTCTCTGAGACAAATGCCAAGTGCATATAGAGTATAGACTACTTCAATAACAACATTTCTGGTAATCGTCTTTGTTGTCTCATTCCATGATTCTTACATCAGGAAAACTACAACCAGTTGAACGAGGCATTGGCGGGGACTGACCACTCGTGGTCATCTCTTACTCTCAAGGTGATGGATCCCTATTTTTAGGCACTTCATTGAACTGGCACTAATCTCCAGCTAATCTGATTGTGTTGATTGTAATATGTTATTTTAGTTATGTACTGCGTTGGAGACTGCAGACAAATTGGTCCAATTTGCCAATTCAAATGCCAAAATACTTTCAGAGAAGGTTGAAGAGCTTGAAAACATTGTAAAGCGGGAAGACTCTGCTGTAGCGGCAGCAAAAGTGATTCATCTTTCAAGAAACAAAAAGTAAAGACTTGTTGGAAACGGAATTTGAATGACAGATTAATTAGGCTAACAAGGCTGAAGAGTGAAGATTTGTGGAGTTTATGGAATTTGCTTTAGTCAAGTTAGTAAAAATGTTGGCTATTCTCAATTCCACAAGAGAACAAATGGAATCCGAAATGGAGAACATTGCTTATTTATCTCATTGCATTATTATATTGAGTTCCTTTTCTCATTTATTTTGGGCAACATTGTTAAGTCTGCAAGGAAGTGAGAGGTAATTTGTGAAAGGAATAGCATTGGTTTAGTCATCAGGTGGACTGTATCTATGCGTTGCCTTCTGCTGTTGTTCATCACTATTTCGTCCTTGATTGAATTGTTGAACTTCAACAGTCATTTATGCATCAGTTGTGACTTGTGAGATTGTACGCGTTACAAATAAAATAACCTTACTCCCCTCGAACGGTTTTCAGGGTCGCCCAAATAAGATGAGATGTAACTCATGTGACAGTAAAAAAAAAAGGGGTTTTGATCAAAGGAAAGTCTCGATATGTAAAAACTTGGGATGGAATGCAAATTTTGCAGGTGGGAGTGTTCCAGATTTTTTTTTTTAATTTTAAATTTTTATTTATTTAAATGCTGCATTTGGTTGTAGTGCAAGTAAATTTGTACTGATGCAAAATTATGATAGTGCAAATGATTTAGGTGCAAATTCTGATTTATTGCAGTACAAAATAAGTAAAATAAGATCTGAAGACTAAGATAAAACCCAAAACAAAATTAAATCAGAATTTGCATTTCTGTGCATTTGTATTAGTGCAAATAAAAATTGTATTGCAACCGAACACAGTCAAAAAAGCAAAAATGCAACACTGATGGAGTTGGTAAGGAGCTTTTTATCTTTATGCACTTTGCAGGTTGGAATGGGAATGTTCTAAACTTTTCTTTATTTAGGTTGCATTTGTTTGTGGTGTAAATCTGAATTGAGTACAAATTGTGCCTGATTTATAGTTTTATGATTTGTACTCTTTTAATGCAAAATTTGCACTTTCTCTTTATTTCTCTTTCATATAAAGTGTGGATCACATGGATTTGCTTCCTACCTTCCCCTCAAATTAATACCCTTTTACCTCATTTCTGCTTCATTTAAATTATGGACCAAATTATTTTACTTCTTACAAACAAATAAAACAAGATAAAATCTAAAGCTAAAGTAAACTAGGATTTACATTTCATCCATTTGCACTCCTATGCATTTATACCAGTGCAAATGAATTCACACTGCAACCAAACAGAACCCTATGTATTCGTTGATTTGTAGTTATAGACTTATGGTTAAAACGTTGGTTAGATACGGTAACAGTGATACTCGTGTAATATCCACCGGTTACCATCCACCTTGTATGCTTGAGAGAGAGAGAGAGAGATCTGACTTCTGAATTCTGAATGGTAGGTTGAAGGGAARTGCAAAACTAGAAGAGCAGATGGGATCATAGAAGTTTGTAGAAGAGTGGAGCAGGCTTTGGAGGACTAGGAACCATTAAAGAAGATATAAGAGTGAAAGCTTCGAGTCTACATTGTACGCAACCAACCCCAGAAAATCCTTGTATAAAGAGACCAATATCTTCCCTTCTATTCCCTCTATCCAAAGTTGGCATCTTAGACTTCAAGCTTCAAAGCTCTGTTTCACCATTTTTCGTGGATTTTGGCAAGGCATAGTGGTGGCCTTCGTGGTGGAGGCAGTGGCGGTGGCGGTGGTGGACAAGCAAAGCTAAAAATGCAACCAGGTGGCCCTGGGCCTGGAGGACCTGGACCTGGTCCTGGCCCTGGTTGGGGTCCTGGGCCTGGAGGACCTGGCCCTGGTTGGGGTCCTGGACCTGGAGGACCTGGCCCTGGGCCTGGTTGGGGCCCTCCAGGTCCAGGTGGCTTTTTTGGTGGTATAGGAGATGGTTTGTGCAGCTTCATATCTTCATGGTGAGCAATCTCACTAACTTCGTAGTTTTAAAAATTCCTCTTCCTTTATAGTTATACCCCCCAAAAAAGAAAACCCTCTTTTGCCTTCTACCTCTAAAGCACTCGACTATGATATCGGAATTCATGGGGTGCTTTAATTGATTAAATCTCTTTCGGTAATATGTCTTTCCGGTATCATAGATTTTTCCATCTCTCTAAATGATGTATTTTCTTGGGGCTTCACGCATACTATTCAATGGGAATAACCCGTCTCTCATTCCCCAACCTTCACAGAAATTGATCCCAAATCACTGCTACAACCAGCCAAAGACCTTACCCACTCAGCCGGCAGTTGATTCCAATGCACCTTCAACTCCACTCCCCTTCAATGTTCTCTTATTCTCCACCATTATATTAGAGATGTAGTTTGCACAGTGGGTTGAATAACTGGGACAAAGTGTTATGTTGTAGGGAAATTGTCTAAAACTCAGTAAGTTTTTTATTTTCCAAAACTCACCTTCCGTTAGTGCACCGTTAATGCTTCTTAATGGAGGTGAGTAAGAGGAAAAATTGTCTTTTTCAGTTTTCAATTTTCTTGTTTTTTTGCATTTTTAGTGTTTTGTTATAATTTCTGTTTTTTTTTACATTTTTCTATTTTCTACAATCCATAAATTTTCCTGTATTTTTGTTATTTATTTACAACTTTTGTGTTTTTCTATAATTTTTGGTGTTTTTCTACAATTTTTATTTTCTAATTTCGTTTTTCAATTTCTCTAGTTTCTATAATTTGAAAATAATTTTTTATTTTGTTTGCAATTTCTATAATTTTTTATATTTTTTTGTAATTTCTATGTTTTTATGTGTTTTATATTTAACTTTTTTAAACTTTTTTCTTTTTCATGTCTAAATATTAAAATGGTAATATATTAACACATGTTAATTTCTTTTGTATATATTTTATATTTTTCTATAAAGGTTAAAATGATAATATATTAACACCCATTAGTCTGTTTAATGTAAAGTTAGTGAGATGATGAATTTTAGACATTTTGAAAAGTTATGAGTTTAAGAAAAATATTGAAAACTCATGATGAGTTTTAAACAATTTTCTTATATTGTATCTTGTGTTGGAAACAATTTTCCTAAGGTGAGATCGGCTTCAATCAGTGCAAGGCATATTGGAACAGCTTTTACAGCGTTGCATAGGGAATATCTCCACACTTTTATGCGTGTTTGACGGGCTTTGCACTGGCTGAATTCGGTTTCAACTTAAGTTAAAAGTTCAGGAAAAGAGTTTAGCCCAGAAAATCTTGCCACGTGTTTAAAATTGACCTTTAGACGGCTTTTATTAAAAGTATGAAGTTTGAACAACCACTGGGATGATATTTTCAGTCTGACCCGAAAATTCCGGGTTTGAGCTTAGGTTTTGACAGGCCAATACAATGCAACTATGCAACCCTTGCAATTGCGAAACACGGATCGCGGCCTCTCGGTGGGGTATCCACCAAGATAGCTTGAGGAGCTGCTTCTCTTGGAGCTTTCTTCTTCTGCTGCTGTCTTTTAGGTAGACTAATTGTATTGTTGGGTCCTGCTGTGTTTTGCGTCTGTTAGTGTCTCTTTAATTATGTGTTGTTTTCTCTGGTTTGATGGCCCTAACTTTAGTCATTTTTAAAGGCGATTATTTGGTGTACTGGTAAAATCTCAAGCTTTCTATTGTAAGAAGCCGGTTTGAGTATGAGAGCAGTCATTTTGTTCAAAAAAAAAAAAAGAAAAAAAAGAAAAGGGTTAAGACTATCGGATTCACACCTCTCAAGTATATTTGATCTATATGGTGTTTGGTTCCGTTACTGTTTATTTGAAAAATGATGCTAGTTTAGTGCCACAAAGACATTTTCCTTTGGAACGCTATGGAAAAACTTCTTTTTAATATTTCTACCAACGTTTGTGCATTTTTTCACTATTTAGCTTATGTGGCATCTATAGTTGCCATGCTTTTTCAACCGTTTTCCTTATTTTTCATGATAAAAAAGTAAAAGACATTTTTTAAATAAACAGCAATGGAACCAAACAGTCCCTAGATTAACCATAAGATCCCTTTGCATGCTAGAAACAGGTGCAATCGTGTAGGAAATCACCCTACCTAACCCATTAAAGTGAATGAATGATTCGAAGACACTGATGGATAAAAGTTGTTGGAGGTGTCAAGCTTTGAACATAACGATCTCTAGCTAGGAAGCGTTCTAATTATTGAACATGACTACATGTCCTAAGAATGACGGTTCAGCCCAGGGTCAGAATTTGTAGGCTTAAAGTACATTTGGTGTAGGTGACAGCTCGGAATTGATGCTAATTCATGGACGGTATGGATGTATAGGGTGTGGGTTTTTGACCTTTTGGATGTTTATAGCTCAGCAGTGAAAATAAAAAATCTGCATTTGGCCTATCCATATTTCTCTGAAATATTTAAGCTTAGTTTGGAAAGAGTATAAATATAAATATATACAAAATAATATAAAATGCAAGATTTTGTACTCTATAAATTTGTATTTATTTTCCTTCCAAACTGAGCCTTTTTGGAAAAAGTACAAATATATACAAAATAATATAAAATATAATATTTTATACTCTACAAATTTGTATTTATACTCCTTCCAAACTGAGCCTTAGGGTTTCAGTGACTGAAAAGATACATATCGATACTTTGAACCATGGATAAATACAGGTTGTATGTATACATTGCGTATAAGCAAAGCATTTTTCTTTCTTATGAACCTCTGCTAACTGTTTGAATTTTGTTTACATGTTTTACAGCTTCTACTTCGTATGCTGTTGCTGGATGCTACAAGACTGCTTTGGTGGGCCTCCAGGACCTCCTGGTCCACCTGGACCACCCTAGTGATTTGGTGATTTTTGCCATTGGGAGGAGGCGTGATGGCATTCATGCAATCGTGGGTCTGTATTTGCGTGTCCGTTCAAGAATAAGAATAGTTCTGCCTTGTTGACGTATTAACCACTGTATTCTCTACTAAAAATTAAAAAAAAAAGACAAAAGAATAGCCAGGTGGAAAATTGTAGTAGAAACTAGAAAGGCTCTTCATGCCTAAATATGGAGTCCGGATCTGCTGTAGTCTTAAAGCATTGAACTGTGCTGTATACCCAATAACTAAATGCCACTTACACATGTGGCTTTCTTCCTATGTGCGATAATTAATAGAATACAGAATATATTTCTTTCATTATTTATCTCATGGTTTATAAAACTGGATTTGACCGGACCGTTGGACTGAAAAACCGGGAACTGGTCAGGTGATTGATTCTGTTTTACCCCAGAACTGTCATTTTGCCAAAAACCGTTGTTTTAGTCAGCAAACTGCTGACACGGGCAGTTGAACCATTCGAACTGTTCAACTGTTTTGACTGTTTTTTATTTTTTATCAAAACGGGCCATCCATTCGGTTCAAATAGTCGGATCACTCGACCCGGAAACCAGACCCCTGACTGGTTCATTGTCCGATTCGATTTCAAAAGCCTTGATTTATCTAACTTTTTAAATCTTTTTTCTTTTTAAGTACTTCACGTTCCCCTCTCTGTCTTTCTTAACCTTTCTTTCTTCCCCAAACGTTAATCTACAAATTTTATTACAAGGCTTTTTGTGAGCTTATATGCAGTTCATGGTTCTCCTTTACCCTTGGTCTGATTTCAACCATAGATGCAATCTCAGTTGAGCATACAAGATTGTGTGCCAAACACGTACAGATATTGGGGAAGAAGGACTTGGCAGTCTTGATCTTGTTATGACCATCATCTTCCTAGCTTTCACTCCGATCACTATTTTTAATCACAGCCTCGATCAACATCTTGAATATACAAAATAGTGCTAAACTCGTTGAGGTCGCCTTTGGGGACGAAAAGGGTTTGGGAAGGAAGGAGAGGCCGAGAGGATCGAAAAAAATAGTGGAAGGGGCATGCAAGAAATTAAAAAAATGAATAAATAATAAAACGTTATGTGTCTTAGGAGAATTCACCCCTAAAAGCTAGCTGTTGAAGGGAGGGAATCCAAGCACATATATACCCCACAATAACATCCCATACTATCGATGTGGGATACCTCACATTAGCATCCCATATTACCAACATGGAACAAATAGGTCATAACGCAAAACAAATATTTACTCCAGTAATAATGGTGTGTTCTGATTTATCAAAATTTAGAGGGTGTTCATTAATATGAATGATTTGTTTTTCAAAAAAAAAAAAAAGAACCACACAACTTGTTAAACACCCCTTTAATCTTTTGGGAAAACTAACTGTGACATAAAACTTTATCAGGTAGGCAATATCCCTTCTAAATTTTATTCATATTAGGCTGTGTTTGGTTGCAATGCAAATAAATTTCCACTGATACAAAACTATGGCACTACAAATGATTTGAGTGTAAATTCCGACTTATTTTTGTTTCAAGTTTTAACTTATTTTGTTTGATTGCAGTACAAATGAAGTAAATTAAGACATGAAACAGAATAAAGTAAAATCTAAAACAAAATTAAACAAGAATTTTGCATCCTTTACATTTGCACTCCCATGCATTTGTATTAGTGCAAATAAATTTACACTGCAACCAAACACAACCTAAGGCTCAGTTTTATAAAGAGTACAAATACAAATTTGTAGAGCCCAAAATCTTGTATTTTGTATTATTTTTTATATATTTGTATTGTGCATATTTGTATTTGTACTCCTTCCAAGTTGAGCCTAAGGATCTGTTTTGGAAATGTGCAAATACAAATATGTTCAGTGCAAAACCTTGTATACAGTTCATATTTGTCTTTCTAAGCTTTGTATTTGCACTTTTCTCAATCAGAGCCTAAAGGCTGAACTTGTCAAAATATTTACTCTAAAGGTACAAGTTAGATGGGACCAGATCTAGTAGACACACCATAAGTAAGCAAGTTAAATGAGCATTTGACAAGTATTTTGACAACTATCAAAAGTGGGTTTTAATCATTTTCAAGGATGGACTGAGGGTATTTTAAGGGAGACGTCAAACAAATTTTTAAGTACTCATTGAACATGCTTACAATGTGTGCCGGCCGGATCCAAACTGAAGTTAGATAGGCAAATAATAGATAGAAGCTATCTGTCTGTCTAATTGCACCGTCCAAAGCAAATATTTCTGTAGGTTCAACGTAGCCGAACAAGATTATGTAGCTGACTTTATATAGTTGGGATAAGGCTTAGATGTTAATGATGATGATAACGATGAACTTAATCATGAGTAGGCGTCTTTCTAACCCCAACCTCATATTGGCCATATTTTATGTTTATGTTCCCCAAGCTAATTTTGGTTTGATACAATGTTTTCAATTTGCTGTTGACCCGATCAGTCAAATCATCACTCAACCACCATGTTTTATGTTCATGTTTGTCAAGCTAATTTTGGTTTGATACAATATTTTCAACCCGCTATTGATTCGATTGGTCGAATTGCTCGAACCGTTATCCGACCAAGATTTTGGGTCCAGTTCAGTCAAGACCCATCAGATGGTAAAAAACCATTGACATGGTAAAAAAACATTCAACCTGGCCGGTTCAACCATTAATCCGTTCGACCTGGTGACCGGGTCACAGATTGCACACTCTATGCATGCAAAACATTTGGAAGCCATAACTTTGCACTCCGATGCCCGATTGGAGTGATTTTTTTCTTATTTTGGGTAACTTTTTGAGATCTATGCATCCCAAGGCACCTTTCCCCACTATTTTCACGAAAAAACCCTTTTTGGCCTCAAATTACAAATTTTAATATTTTTTTATAAATAAAATAATTTAAAACTGAATTAAAACATAAATTAAATACATAATAATACATATAACATATCTAAAACATATTTATATATTATTTATTTCTTTTATATATATACACATACATGCGGTGGCGTGTTACGGTCTGAACCATTCGACCCGGCTGGTCAAACCGATGACCTACAACCAGCTGGGTCAGTTTTTAAAACACTGGTTTGATGAATAAAATAAAATAAGAGATAAACAGAAAGTTTGCAGAAAATTCCAAGCATATTTTGTAAAATCTTTTTAAAACTCACTCTCAACTTACCATTTCTCTATTATTTTTTATCAAACCAAACACACCTTAAAAGGGTGGGTGAAAATAATAACTAAAATATTTCATCCTAGAAAAAGATCATTGAATCATATAAAAGGGAAAAGAAGCAGAGAGACCAGGATATGAAGATATTGTAGCTTGTTTTGGCAATTACTTGCAAATACAAGAAAACCTCATATGTGGAAGGGCTGTTTTGAATGGTAGATAGGATAAGAAGAGTTGACATACTGTTGGACTTAATTTAGAATTTATGATGGAAAACTTGAAGGCTAAGCAATCCCAATCCCAACCCCAAACCCATAGAAAGTCTTCTATATAAGAATCAGTAACCTCTCTTTGGATCCTCTCGGCTTTGCTCAAAGGTGGTGGCACCTTATAGCTTCAAGACTTTTCTCTATCTCTGCAGATACTATCGGTGGGCATAGTGGTGGTGGCAGCAGGTGGTGGTATAAAGCTAAAGGATGGGACCAGGAGGACCAGGAGGACCAGGAGGACCAGGAGGCCCTGGGCCTGGTTGGGGTCCTGGACCTGGTGGACCTGGGCCTGGTTGGGGCCCTGATCCTGGTTGGGGTCCTGGTCCAGGTTGGGGGCCTGGGCCTGGTTGGGGACCTGGTGGCTTCTTTGGTGGTATTGGAAATGGTTTGTGCAGCTTAATTTCTTCTTGGTAAGCAAAATTAACTGTTGCTGTTTCTGAGTTTGTCATCTTTATTTTCTTCTGCCATTAATTATGTTCTTGGTTGAATGATGGGAACAATACTTTTGCTTTTTTTTTTTTTCATATGAACTCATTAAGGCTATGTTTGGTTTGATAGAAAGTAAGAGAGAAAAAGAAATCAAGGGAAAAACTCTGAACAAATTTTGTGAAAATTCTTGAGAACCTTTCGTGAACTTTTTTTTTTTGTTTCAACCAAACAAAGACCGAAGGGATATTGATTTAGAATATTGTTTTTTTTTCTTTTTTACAAATGACACAGTTCTAATTACTTTGTGCTTTGTTGTTTCATTTGTCAGCTTCTACTTCTGCTGCTGTTGCTGGATGCTGCAAGAGTGCTTTGGTGGGCCTCGAGGACCCTACGGCCCACCTGGGCCTGGTGGACCTCTCTACTGATCCAGTGTTCCTGCTTGTGTTGTGTATGAAAAACAGCGGTGTGATCAGATCACTGATTGCCCGTTTCATAAAAGAAGATCTAGTTTCAATTTACTGGTATGAAGTATGAACTAATGAACTGCCACATGGAGATTGTGAAAGGCAAATACGGATTCAGTTGCTGCACTTTAATTTTATCTACCCTTCATGCCTCTTAAAATATGTCTTTAATCAATCTGTTTAGTATGATGTCTTTTCGATATCATAGTGGAACCCTAATTTGTATTATCTACCGATTTTCGTTCTTTAACACATCTTTCATGTGAAATTTTATTATTGGGCTTGAAGCTTAGACAAACACATAAACATTCATACCTTGTCTGAAATTTAATTAATTATAATGGGACAACGAGAATCAAACACTAAACCACTTGTTCAAACAGATTATGATACTGTATCAAAGAATTGCTCAAATTAAAAGACTGGGCTGCGTTTGGAAACGATGCAAATAAAGTGTAAATCTCAGTTCAGGGTAAATTTATACTCTGGTTCACTTTTGCCTGTGTTTGATAACATTACATTTTTGCATTGACAAATGACAGAAAATGCATTTTTCAATACAAATTTACATGAATAATAAAATATAAAAATACAGTAATAAAAAAAAAATTAAATCTATATTTAAGTAGGCTTTTGATAAAAAAAGACATGCTTTATTAGAATTCATGCTTGCATCCATTACACTTATTTGCATCGTTTCCAAACACAACCTTAAGCACTTAAGTGAGGTCCCAAAATAAATTTATTATTCTCTAACAAGGTAGGATAAAGGTCTAAAGATTTGATAATGAGACTCAATGCGGATCGAATCACAGCCCTCATTTGAAGCACTTTTATGGACCAGCAGTCCAACCTACTTGACACCATTATCTATCTTGAATTTGCACATAAATTGAATGCCCACTCAACAACAACAACCTACTTATTAAGTCCACCCACTAGGGCTGCAAAACAATGTTGGGTTTAGGTAGATCCAAATTTGATTCATTTACATTCATATTCGAGTATTCGAATAGAATCATATCCATTACATTTATAATAATCCAAATTGAATTTGGACTGTAATGGGATATTGAATAATATTGAATAAATTAAATTAAAAATAATCAAAATATTTCATATTATAATAGCATGAAGTAAAAAATAGTTCTGAWACTGTGTACCACGAACAAAATATCTTGAAAATAACTTATATTTTTTAGAACAAAAAATAACTTATATGTAGGGGTGTTAATAGGTCGGATTTGGGTTGGATCCCATTTTAATCTAAATCAATTTGAACTGATTGGATGGACTTGGATTGGACTGGACCTGATCCATTTGTAATGGATATATATTGGATTAGATCAGGTTGAACCGATATCCGGTCCATTAAAACAAGATAAGAGTACTAGTGTCAATGGACCAGGTTTGGCTTGGACCCAATCTAAATTGGAACCAATTGGAACCAATATCCGGTCTCATTTGAAGCACTTTTGTGACTCCCTTCATGTGGTCATGTGGTGAAAGCTGATGTAGGCGCTCATGTCTCAAACCAATAGAGCGTGGTAGACGGTGACGCACAGGGTGGACCCAACGAGGGCACATGCAGAGCAGAGGCCAACACACGTCATAGGGCCAATGGCATGGCCGAATGCAGCGGCCTCGGATGGCCGCACTCCTCAGGGCCAGACCACCTCCTGGCCATCCGCGCCCACCTACCTCTAGGCGACCTTAAGTATAAATAGGGGGCAACCCCTCCAAGGTAAGCATTTGGACTCGAGATTACTAAGAGCTCCCTTACTCCTTTCGTGGCCTCGTCTGAGCGTCTTAACTTCAGGCTTCATCCACCTTGTATTGCACCTATACTAACTTGACCATCAAAGTCTCCGCCTCGGATACTTACTCGGGGCCTCTGCCATTCTCCCTCTCTCCCTCATTATAGGACTGGCCTATTGGTCCTCGGCCACAACAGACCTCGGACTTTTCAATCAACCCTCCGCACATAAATAAAATTATCTTATTGCCCTTGGCTCATCCTAAGCAGCAACAAAAGCGATCAAAGACCAATTATGTGAACTTGTCTCAATCTTTTGCTTAAGACTAAGAACTCTCTTTTGTTGTTTAGTAATGTAAATATTAACTTTATTTCTAGACAGTACAATATCCCATGACATAGGGTAGATCAAGTAGCCAAAGATCATATGAACCAGTCCTTTTCTATTTCAAATTATCCTAAACAGAGAGAAGCTTTTAAATGGATGAATAGGATTCTATATGTATACGTGTGTGAGAGAGATATAGTGACAGATTTAAGTAGGTTGGGTCATAAATTGGCAGACCTACACCAGAGGGACCTTGACTCGTGTTAGATCATTGCCTTCTTACGGGGTGTTTGGTACAGTGGTTTTGTTGAGTTGCTGTTGTGCTTTGGGCTAATCAATAGAAATTAACAAGAAAGATGTGTAGAAGTGTCATTTTAACTCCAAAAGTGCATGTGTATGAGAAGCATCAAATTTGACGTTTTAGAAAGAAATGGTAATTTGTATTAATCAACTTAAAAAATGTTTCACTAGGGGTGTTCAAATTCGATTGATAAATCAAAAATCAAACCGAACCAAACCAAAAAAGTTAATTCAGTTCGGTTAATTTGGGTACCAGTTCGGTTTGTTTGTTTTTTTTTTAAATCGGTTTTTTGTCCTGGTTCGGTTTGACTGAAATTTTCAATCCAACCGAACTGAAAACGAAATTAATGCTGTTATTTAGTTATGTATATTAAACATTAATATTTTATTTAATACTTTATGCTAATTAATTATTATATTTCCCAATAAACAATTTGTCAATTCCCCATCGAGCTTTAGGCCCATTCTAATTTTTAATTAATAATAGTTAATTAAAACTTAGACTCATTATTAATTGTTTATTATTCATTAATCATTACTTATTTTTGAAAATGATTAATAATAGCTAATTCCTATTCTAGCTTTTAACTAATAATAGCTAATTAATTAAAAACCACTGGACTTTGGGGTCATTCTAACTTTTAATTAATAATAATTAATTAATTAAAACCATTTGATGGGGCCATTCTCATGACCCCAAACACTCCCTTATTTTCTTTTCTGATGTGGGTCCATGATTATAAATTACAAGGACCACAGGTAAAATCACAAAAAGCCATCTGTTATATCAACAACCTATTTTTTCACATCCCACCTACCCTTCATTATTGTGCTGATTTTACCCTAAAATTAACATTTCAAACTTGCCCCTTGTCCTTAAAAGTTTAAATAGACTTCTTATACTCGATATGGAAAGGGTACAATTATAAATATATATAGTATAAATACAAGATTTAAAAATATAAAATACAAGATTTATATTGTACATATTTATATTTTTACTCTTACCAAATTGAGCCTTTGGCTGCATTTGGAAGTGGTGTAAAACCACATCGATGGAGTTTCACACCAAACCTTAAAAAGGTTCTGATCGTTGAGTTTCGAAAAATGTGGCATTTTACATCGATTTTATCGATATACTATTTACATCGATTACCAATGTAAAATTTTAGATGAGGTTTTACATCAATTTATGATGTAAAACTCCATTCCATCCAAACACTGATAAATCTGAACCGAGAGTGGAGTTTTACATCGATCTTAATTTACATTCCATCCAAATGCCAAGAAAACCAAACCAAATTAAACTTCCATCTAAACACTGATAAATCTGAACCGAGAATGAAGTTTTACATCGATCTTAATTTACATTTACCTCGATTCTAAATGCAGCTAGCTTTGTTTTCACTAAACCAAAGCAATAAACCTTCAATTTAGAAACATGTGGAGTAGAATGAACACTTTGATAGATCATATATTAGCTTAACCGGCTAAGAAATTTTTTTGGGGGGTTTTTGCTATTCAGTCCACCGTTACAAACCTTATCTTCATTGTACGGTTAAGGTAGATGACAGCTTGGAATTGATGCCAATATATGTGTGAAAATATTTAAAATTTTAAATTATTATAGATCTTCAGTGAAATTCAAAATTCTGACGTGGAATATAATCACTTTTTTTTTTTAGCCAAATGGGTTCAATACATTAAATATTTTAACTTGTACAAAAATTTAGCAAATACCTAAGTAGACACCATCTTCACTTCTCTTGTTGGAGAAAGACTATTTTAGAAGATGGCTACTTGATATATAACAAATGCCAAGTGTGAGGTTGCTACCAATGGCCCTCAATAACTGGGACTATTTTTGGATATAGACTCTTTAATCTTATAAGTAAAACACCTGTTACACACTGATTGCACATAAATTGTGTCGGTCGGTTTGAAAAGTAGGTGTCAATTACATACTGGGATCTCGAAAGGCATGACTCTTTCACTTACCAGTCTAACTGGGATCTCGTTAAAATGTCACCCCACTTGCTCAACAACCAGTCTTTTTCAATTCTATAAAGTATCAATCGGAGCTGTGTTTCAGCCTAACTACTGTATTCTTCACAAACTAGTTGGGTTTCTTGTTCAGACAGACTGACAGAGAGAGATGCCGCCGGGATGGGGACCTGGACCAGGAGGGCTACCTCCATCTCCTTTTGGGTGTTTCGGTTTCCTTTGTGATGGGATATGCAGACTCATATCGTCATGGTAAGTCAATTCAATGCTGCCTAAAATTTCCTAGCACTCAATCAAATTGTATTGTTTGTTTATATACGTTTTTTGGGAAAATCTATGGTATCGGAAGMAAGGTTCAAAGTATCGATATGTATCAGCCTGTATCGACTGATATGTATCATGCTGATGATTTTTTTGATACATCCCTCCAGGGGTTGTATCGGGTCAGATCATGGTTCATAAGGTAGCCATGCTAGTTTTGAAAAAAATAAATAGAATTTAAAAAAAAAGTATCAATACAGGCTGATATGCCCTACTAGTGYATCCTTGAACCTTGACCGGAAGGACATGATACCACCTGATTGGTCACCCCTTGTGTTATACTGGTTGATTGATTGCAAATTTTTCTGATATCATGTCTTTCTGTAATCATAGTTGAACCGCCCTTTTTTATATATATTCTCTCTCTCTTCTATTTGAAATATATTAGAATTTTTGACTAGTTTTATGRCATCTGTACCACCAAAATACTAAGGGAGAATGACTGATCAGCCCAGCTTAGAATTCTTTAGCCCCACCTTATAGGGGGGATGAATCGTGACCGTGGATTGATGTCAAATTCATGGACAGAATATGGTTTATAAGGGGAGGGAGGCTGTAATTCAGAATTCTGCAGTGAGCTGCAGAGTACTTTTCCCAAATACTATAGGGGTATTTTTCAACGTGAATTGTTTTTTCTTGTTGTAAGTTTCAAAAACAAATTAAAAACCATCTGATTTGAAAATAAATTGTTTCTCAGAACAAAAACATGGAAAACTTGTTATTAGTTGTAAATGTATGCTTTTTAATTTCTTTTGTTTTTGAAACTACAACAAAAAATGTGTTTTTGAATCTCTGATTTGAAAAGCATGATTTTGTTTTAAACCATAGTACATATCTCATTATCTTTCGTAAATAATACAATATCTGCACTAGAACACTTGATTTTGTTTAAAAAATCATCATTTTGATGGTTTTAAAAACATAAATTGCTTTTTGAAACAAAAGAAAACAATCCAACTTGCTTTTGCTTGTTAAAACAAATTTACAGTTAGGAATATGTTTTTATTTGTTTGTTGATGTGATAATTACCAAAATAAATGAAAACAAAAACATTTACTTTGTAGAACACCCCAATAAGACTTTGAATCGAGTTCGGATCTCCTGTCCATATTTATCGCAGCCACACATGGAGAACATCTCATCCTCTGCATAGTATTATGCAGGGGGAGATGTTCACAATTCATGGGGATAGTATATTGTGGGTAGGCATGARCAGGGTTCTCGTGGGCAGAAGATCCGGAGTCCTTTGAATCTTGCATACATTATGATCATAAGCATTGCGGTTATAGTTGCACGCACCGAGGATGCCTAACTTATAGTTCTAAAGTGCAACATTTACAACATGTAATGTCACAAAGGCCTCAATCGTTTTCACTTAGATGGATAAATATGTTTATTTCTAAGATTTTACTTGTCTAATGTTCTTGTGCAATACGAGTTATTTGTTTGTGTAAAGAGAAAGGTAAAAGGAAAAACATATTATCATTGCACGGGTAAATTACCTACAAAATTGATACTCTCTGTTATCTTAGCTTACCTAATATAACGGCATTTGAAAGTAGGAATTATGATCAATTACCCATTTGACCAACTAACATCTATTACATACCGACAAACCAATGGGGCAAAAGTACACTTCTTTACTTTTATGGTAGAATTTACACGAGACTAAGGGAAGGGTGTTGCTTTGGTTGCAGCTTTTATGTACTGTGTTGTTGCTGCATCCTACAAGAATGCTGTGGACCATTCTTTGGTGGACCCCCTGGTCCTGGTGGCCCACCTCCACGTCCCTTTTGATCGGGAAGCTCTTTCAATCTATTGTGTATTGATTACTGTTTCGGTGCATGTATGTTTATGGAATAAAATGGGTAGGAATGAAGTTTTAATTTGTGTGTTTATGTTCATGTCAAATGCACCACTTAATAAGGTATGAAATAAAGTTTACACAAAAAATTTGAAGTATTCAAATTGAAATTTACCAACCGAGGGTTGGTTCGTTGGTGTATTCTGTATTAGCTTAGCTGGTTCGTTGGTGTATGCTTATACACAGACAATAATTAAATTAGCCCTGTATTAGGAATATCTCTCCATGAATGATAACAGAGATGAATGTGCATTTGTTGCTCTACCTTTTCTTCTAGCCATGTTTAAGGTTTGAAAAAAGTGTCATGCAGAAGCGCTACATCTGCTACTAGTTAGGGGTGCAAGTGAAGCAAAGAAGATGGGATTTAAGGTCAATTCAGGCCCGACCCTAAATATTGGGCCTAAGACCTGAGCTGACTGGGCCTGAGATTAAGTCTGATCTTTTCAATAATCAAGCCCAGCCTGAAAATTGACATATTCAGATTTGGGCCAGGCCAAGCTTGATTTAATCAATTGGAATCAAGTGTGCTTCCTAGATCTAGTCGTTTTTTATATTCTCTTTCAAATGAATCATGAATGGAATGAACATCATCGATTAAGCTAACTGGTTTTAATTTTTAAATACTCTATCTTATGGGTATGAATGTTCATGAGCATAGATAATGTGCTGGAAATCCAGATTAGGGTGTTTGGTTTAATGCTGACCATAGATCACATCTAACCAAAAGATACTGTAGCCACAGTGTTGCATATCCCGAATATCTTTCCATGAATTAGAACACAAAATACAAGAGATATTCCTAATGTGCAGCTGTTAAGATCTTGTGACCAGCAGATTTGGATTCTCCAAGTAGCCCCAAATCTTTGTCGAACCCTTTTTTCTTAAGTTTTATGCAAACATTTTGTAACTGAAAGCCAGAACAGTGATATCTCTTAGCTCTATTAGATGATGTGGGACTAAAGTTCAAAGTATACTCTTCTTATTTATTTCTTTATTTTTTTTTAAACAAAGTAGAGGCTGAAATAAGTCAAATTTCCAGAAAATGCAAATTTGGAGTATTAGTGGCTCATCGATAGTCTGATACATGACAAAATTTTGAATCTTTGTGGAATTAGCGTTGTTCCTACCTATTTGCATTAGGGTAAAAACGATTTTATCCCAATGAGTAAAATTAGGGTTGCAACTTGGGTAGGTTGAGATTGGACTTTTTGTCAATTTTGAATGGAGCCCGAATCTACTCCAAGCAGTGCAGAGTTCTAATTCAAGCATTAACATTTTTTTGGGTATTAGCTCACTTTGAGAAAAGGAAAGAAAACCTAAGCCCCCACCTTTGAAATCAGATCAGGTCCCACTCATTTGCAGCCTCACCTTAAAAGAAATTAAGCTATTTTTTTTTCTATTTTTTATTATTGGACTACACAACCACAGAGAATAGTCATTCCCTAGACCCATAGGCCCAGCCGGGTTGAGTTAGTCGGGCTTAGGCAGGTTGATAATGGTAAGGTTTAAAAGAATTTATGTATATATTTTCATATAGCCATCTTTTAATGGTCTTTATAGCTTAATTTAAGAGTAGAGTTGATTGAAAATATGTATAGATTTCATTTACAAATGTGCATATATATATATATATATATATATATATATAATTAGAATATATGTATGTATGTACAAGATTTTTAAAACTAGATTGGATAGGGAACTGTTCTGGGGTCCGGTCCTAGGTCGATCGGTCCAACCATTTAGTCCAAACGGATGACCCGCTCTGATAGAAAAATAAAAAAAAAAAAAAAAAAGCAAAAAACGATTAAAAACTGTTGTCCGGATCAATAATTCAACCGCCCAGATCAGTGGTTCACTGACCAAATCAACAGTTTTTTACCAAAAAGCAGTTTTGAGGTAAAACAGAACCAATGAAGTGATTGATTTCCGGTTTTCCAATCCGACCATCATGTCCAACCTGGTTTTAAAATCCATGAGTATGTATGTATTTGTTTGAACAGGCTCGAGTTGAATCCAGCCCAGATTAGGTTGGATTGGGCTCAATTTACCTGAGACTTCAACCCAAGTTTAGGACAGGCCTGAATTTTCTGGCCCAGCCCAATCCACCCCACAGCCTAAAAACACACGGGCAGCCCATGTGAAAACTTAGGTTGAATCGAGTTGGGCTCGGGTTGGCCAGCTCAAGTTGCAATCCTACCTAGTGGGGGATTCAATTCAATTCAGATCTCCTACCCACATCTATACACTATACAGCTATGCATTGGATTCGATTCGCAGTTGAACGAGCCAGCGTACCTCAGTTGGTAAGAAAAGGTCACCTGATTCAAACAAATAATCGCTCCCCACTTATTTTTTGGTTCTCGACTGAATGTCTGGTTCTTCCTTGGACCGGGTTTTTTAATCCGATAAAAAAAATTCTATCGTAATATACCAAAAGTATTCATTGATTAGTAGAACTACGTAGTAGTTGAAGGTGCAAAAGGCAAACCAAGAATGGATAGAAAATAACCGTGACACGAACTGACAACTGAGAAATTTGCATCTGTCTTGGGAAAACGCCAGAGCTAGAATTGCATCGATTCAGTCGCCTCGTTCTTCTCTTGAATATTGGTTCGGTTCAGGAGTTTTTGTCCAGTCATTGACATCACCATTACGTGATCAAGCTGTGTACCGTTATGGCGTTATCTGATAACATAGAAAACAAAAGGACTCTGGAGTCTGGACTCAGCAAAAATAGGTTAAGATTGCTGGAATCTTGTATTACGACCACTACTTTGGCCATGGCTTTGAGCCTTTGACTGAGAAAGCTGGGGTCGGTTGGTAGAGCCCACGCCAAGCTGGGGTCCACCTGTTAATTCTAAACAGAAACATGTGGCTGGCACTCGATGACCCTATTGGGTCCCACTAATTAATTGTCCCAGATCCAGATCCAATCAGTGGAAGTAGGAAGATTCGTCGTGGTAGGAAGGGGATGAGATCAGAATCGTCACCGCCACGGATCAATCACATAACGTCTCGTCGCCATTTACTACTTTATTGAAGCTTATCGATAAATTTTGAGATTAATAAAATAAAGATATCCAAGCAAAAAAGGCCGGTCATGTTAGAAAACTTACAATTGGATTGGACCGCACGGTTTCCGTTTACAATTTTCAAACTGGACCACAGCGTTTTTGGTTAAAGCATTCCACCCGTTTTGTGTTTTGTCTTTGACCGGTTTCGTATTCTCTATCGTTAGTCCTCATCCCATCAAAGATAGAGAGAGAGATGATAGCAATTCAGTTTTCTTATTTAAGAAGAAAATTCAAACAGAAAGACTTCCATTGTGTTTAGTGTGAGTCACATTTGTTCAGCCGCTGATGCATCAAATAAAAAAACACCAACCTTAATTATTGATGCAAAATTTACACCATCTTCTTCGAGCCTTTCTCATGGGATTATATTATTAGAGTTCAAATCAGCCCCCCCACAACATTTCATAGCACATTCCCGCCGTGTATTGGAAACATCTCCCGATGATAGTACCAAATATGATGAGGGTATCATCAGGAGATATTTCCAATACACAGTGGGGATGTGCTGTGGGAAACTATCTTGTGGGGGGCTGATTTTGACTCATATCATTATACCTCCTGTTTATATATTTTTGTTACTCTAAAAATTATGGAGAATTCCTKATTAGTATCTTGTACTTTGGATTTACTGCCATTTTAATCTTTAAACTTTAAAGTGTTACCATTTGGTATCCAAACTTTCAAAACATGTCAATCCAGTACCTGTCGCTAACCAGCCCGTTAACTAGTCATTGAGTGGCATTTGAAAAGACACAAATACACTTCAAATGTCATCTGATTCTCTTTATCAGCCATCTAAAAGTTGACAAAAAAAAATAATAACAATCCCAAGTCCTTAGTTCTTTTATTCAAAAAAGTTGGATCACCAGAATACCCACTAAAATGTAACCCCAACTTTCCCTAAAAAATAAACCCTTTATCCTGTCTTAATTTTCTTTAACATAAAATGGCAACCACACCATTTCATTTTTCACAAACAAATAAAACAGTCAAATCTGAAGCAAAATTAAAATAGAATTTGCACTCCGGGTCCTTAACCCTCCTCTAAGAGTCTAGAATTAATGCAAATGATGTTTGTACTACAAAATCACTTAAATTTCTCTCTACCCAAAAGCCTTCCTTAACCCTCCTCTAAGAGTCTAGACAGGTCTCTTTACCAAAAATGGGTTTCCCATGATGACAAGATATCTTCACTCTGATCAGTCTCCATGTATCCAGAAAATAATCCAGATCTACATAATTAAGAGGATAGTTTTGGTATGTGTTGTTCCATTCATGGTCACTCTCTCCATGATTTTGACCATTTACCAAATGGGTCTCTTATACTTCTCCACAATGGTTTGCACTTTCACTTTTCATGTATCTCCTTTAGTATGATCAGCTGCTCATCCCTGAAACACTTTTGATTTCTTTTTCTCTATTGTTGATTGTTCACAAGGACCATTCTCATTCTGGGCTTGCTTCGTATGGCAGGAAATTCCTGGTCCTAACAGTAGCAATCTTTGACATGGACTTATTCAATGGTGGGTCGCCTTCCTCTTCACAAAAACATGTGGTAGATGTAGATCATAGAGCAACTCATCTCTTGCAATTAAGGAACCCTGATACAGTCCATTTATGGATGCCTTCCAAAATTCTTGTTCACATTTCACGTCACAGCATGAATCTCATCTCTCTTGGTTTCATAGCAAATTTGAATGTGTGACAACATGTAAGATAGGGATATCCACATCATTCAATCATTCTCAGGCTACTTGTCTAGTTCTACCAATGTCATCATGCAAGCATCCACTTCTCCTAGGACGTGGCCTGAGTTTGGTTCGTTAATTAAGTCCATATATATATATATATGTATATATACATATATATTAATCAATTTATACAGGTTAGTGGGCCTTGGATTGAGGTTTTTCTTTTGGTGAGGGTTTGTAAGTTTATAGATTTAATTTTGATGCTGACCAGTTTTGGCAGGGAAGGTGAAATCTATAAATGCACCAAGATCGTGGAGGTCACCTGTGGTCACAAGCAAATGTTAGGGATCTTGAGGTGATATCCCGACGGGGAGAAACTTTGGATGTTGGGGGCCAGCAGCGTATGCTGTTGAGAACTTCTTGGGAATACCACGTTACCAAGGTAAAATAGTAATTGTCCATATTTTCTTTTGACCATAAGAAAATAGGAGTGTCT